ACGGTGCTGATTTTTACTTCATGGTTTGGCACCCACATATATAGTGGACTGCTCTTCCCCACATGATTCTATATAAGAACTAAGGTGTCCATGCACTTTTGAAAGTCCTATATTTACAGATCTACTCCTCTACAGTCTGAGCATAGATTCAGGGGGGTAGCTTTGTTGGTCTGAAATAGCAGAACAAAGTTTGAGTCTAGTGACACCTTTAAGACCAACAAAGGTGGGGGGGTTAGTGAGTATTTTGTGTGTGTGTGTGTGTGTGTGTGTGTGTGTATGCCTGGAAGTTATGGTTGACTTCTGGCAACCCCTAGTGGGGCTTGGATGTTTCAGAGATGTGGCTTGCTATTTCCTGCCTCTGTGTCTCTCCCCCCCTCTGGTATTCCTTGGAGGTCTCCCTTCCAAGTACTGGCTCGGGTTAGCCCTGCTTAGCTTCTGAGATCTGATGAGATCACCCTTGCCTGGGCTATCCACATCATGGCTAACCAACAAAATTTTATTCAAGGTATAAGCTTTTGTGTGCATGCACACTTTTTTAGATACAATTAAATGGAAATCACCAGTCCATGCATATAGAGGACGAGCTGTAAATTAGCATACAGCATAATGAAGACGTTTAACAGATTCAATGACCAAACAGGAATAACAAGCTTAGTTTATACAGTTACCATTTGTTTGGGTTTAATTCTGGGGGGAAACATAGTGAAGGAAATATATATGTTAAGATTGGAGACTGATGGACAGATGCTGAGTATAATTAACTGAGACCCTGTCATTATGCTCCATTGCATGTAGGCCACCTTACAGCATCTTCTTCTTCTTTGAAGTGGGGCCATTGGCTGTGTACCCTGTCCCTAGACCAGAGAAATGCCATTTCAATTTACATTACTCTACTATTCGTTACGTTACATTACAATCAACTATTCTAATCTATTATTCCAAATAAGAAATAAAATAAAAGGAGGACGTATAGCCCTTCCGGGGGGGATTGGCGAGAATACAGATCTAAGGGCTGAATGAAGTTAGCATGTGTAATGAGATAAGGAACAAATATCCCTGTTAAGTCCTGGGGATTCAATTGCCCTGAATGTTGCAATAACTTCCAACTCAGAGATTTCCCTTTCTAGTCTGTTCCTGAAGTTCTTTTGCAATAAAACAGCTACTTTGAGGTCACCCATTGAATATCCTGGAAAGCTGAAGTGTTCTCCTACAGGTTTCTCAGTCTTGTGATTCTTGATGTCAGATTTACGTCCATTTATCCTTTGGTGCAGGGTTTGACCTGTTTGCCCTATGTAGAGAACTGAAGGGCATTGTTGGCATTTAATGGCATATACAATGTTAGAAGCTGAGCAAGTGAATGAGCTTGAGATGGTGTAGCTGATGTTGTTAGGTCCAGTGATTGTGTTGTCTGGGTGTATGTGGCAGCAAAGCTGCAAGCTCTGGTACCAGTTTCCATGTTCAAATTAGATGTTGCATTATTGTGCATGAGGAGTTGTTTGAGACTGGGTGCAAGAAAAAGTTTGCTCCCCAGTACTTGTGAAAGAGAGCTGTCATTATCCAGTAAAGGTTGTAGGTCACTGATGATGTGTTCAACTGTTTTGAGCTGAGAGCTGTATATGACCACTAGTGGTGTTCTGTTATTATCTCTTTGGGGCCTGTCTTGCAACAGGTTTTCTCTGGGTATCATTCTGGCTTTGTTAATCTGTTTCTTGACTTCATCAGGTGGGTACTTTAAACAACCAAAAAGGGTTGTTGTAGATCCCTCAGGTAAGAATCTCTGTCTGTAGGACTGGAGCAGATGCGGCTGTAGCAAAGAGCCTGGCTATATACAATGGCTCATTTAGGCTGGTAGCTGGAGGTATGTTTGTTGGTGAGTAGGTTTCTGGTATAAGGTTTCTGTCTATGCATCCATTGTGTATTTTTACAGTAGTATCCTGAAAATGTATTTCTTGCATAGATTGGTTGCAATGAATGGAAATGGCTGAGCTAAAAGTTACTACAACACTCAGGAAAATGGAATCCCCAGGACTTAATGAGAATGTTGGTTTCTTATCTCACTAAATATGCTAACTTCATTGAATCCTTACATCTGTACTCTCACCCAATCCCCCAGAAGGGCCACACATTCTCGTTATTTTATTTTATTTATTTGGAATCACAAATTAGAATACTAGATTGTAATTTAACATAATGAATAGCAGAATGCAATGTAATTTGGAATGGTAGATTGGAATGTATTTCTCTGGTCTGGGGACAGGGGAGATAACGCTACAAATCGCTCCACTTCAAAGAAGAAGATGCTATAAGGTGGCCTCCATGCAATGGAGCGTAATGACAGGGTCTCAGCTAATTACTCTCAGCATCTGCCCATCAATCTTCAATCTGGACATATTTATTTCCTTCACTATGTTTCCCCCCAGAATTAAATACAAACAAATGGTAATCACATAAACTTAGTTTGTTATTCCAGTTTGGGCATGTTTATTGTCAGTGGCTGCACTCACAGAACAGTCTGCTGGATATCGTACAGTCTGCTGGATATCGTACAGAAAGCTCCCGTACTCACCCTTCCATAAAAAGTGCAAAGTGGAATTATGCCAGCACACCGTTGAAGGAAGAAATTAATGAACGTCTCTGGCAGCTGGTGGCTGAAGGATATTTGTTGCAGCTTTAAGCTGATATACTTTTAACATTAAGTGTTCAAAGTATGTTTTTAACTGTATATGTTTATATTTTATAAGCAATCTAGGACACAGTGGAAAAAAATTAAACAATTCACCAATGATACTCAGAGATCAGAAGCCTTCTAGCTCCACACCCCTATTTTGGTGTTGGAGCAATTTGTCTCAAGTAGGATTCATCAAAGGCAAGGTGACAGCAAGAGGATACTTTACAGCCCCTGCCTGGGTTTTCCCAAGTCGTGCATCACACTAAAAATGCCACATCTTTCCCTGTAGTGTAGCTGAGGATACTATTCCCCTTCAGCAAATAAACTTGTACGATCTTACCATCAGAGCAACCCCCATTCATAACAACTTTAACATCCACAATTTCTGTCCTCAACACTTGTGAAGCAAAGAATTACTGTGCTTAAGTTTTTGTGTTACTTAAGATCACTGGATGAAATACAAAATATAGGTCTAGTACAGTCTGGTCACACACACACACACACCAAAATCTACCCACTGCATTTCCCCCTTCCTTCCAATCCTCAGATGGTAAATTAACTTGCTTTAATTCCTAAACTTTAATGAGTTTGACTTGCTCCAGAGTGAATCCATGCAAAATAACAAAGCCAGGGGCAGTAGACAGGAAAGCCAGCTGCAAATAAGCCAGAACTACTATCCATTCAAGAATCTTTCAAGAACAAACTACACTGAAGTAGAAGTAGCTGGGAATTCTACAGAAGAAAGTAGGTAGGCTAGAAGACTGACCTATATCTGTGCTGGAGTTGCAGTACCTATATCTGTATTAGGAACTTAGTAGATGTTTATTAAATAACT